GTGACTTTAATTTTTTCCCTAAGATTCGCCGTTCTCAAGTTATTCATACCAATACAATCCCCTTGTGGCAGACACTTCTAACGATAATATTACAAGAATATTTGTTTATGTTTAAAAGTAAGTGCAATTTGTAAGCACATCAACAAAATTATTTACACTCCTTTCTACACCACCTGTGAAGTAGTGTGCGATATAAACAAAAAATCTATTTTTTTTAAACCTCAACACCCTGTATCTCTAAAACGGGGCCGTTCTAGACCTATGTTTATAAGGCAAACACATATTATTTTAAAGAGATCTATCTACCCTCGAAGTTTCCTGCATAAAATTCGGACCACTCTGTATAAATCATTTTATTAAAGACAAGAACTTAAAACTGCAAAAATGATATGGACAACGCATTTACCGACATGGATTGAATTTTGAGAATTTGCTAGGTTTTTTTTTAATTTTGTCAGCATTTAATTTTGAGTCACATTTCCTATTAAAGAATAATATGACTACATCCTTTGAAATAACGACTTTTCATTATACAGGGTGATTCACAAACGGTGATAGAAAATGAAACATCGTATTCTATGATGAATTTTAAGGGGAGTCCTTCGTATAAAATTTTATTCTAGGACGCTTCATTAAAAAAAATATTTTTAATTTTTTCAAATAATTTAAAAACTTGTAAGTGAAATTTCAATACGTGTCAGGATTAAATATTTATAATAGCAGTCATTATGTGGTTACTTGTAAAGTACAATTTCAGTAGTATTTATATTACTAGCTGATCAAATAGATGATGCGACACTACATTGCAAAAAATAGGTAGGTATATTGAATAATATCCTATTACACAGAAACGCTTTGACTGGACGTAAGTTTTTTAATGCGAGTTTCGGTAGATATGCACCTTAATACAGGTGTAATTACTAGCAAAAAAGAAATTAAGCTGATAGCGGACAGAGTTTATAACTGCACTTTTAGGTACCTATCTTGCAATAATTTCAAGATACGCCTGTTTAAAAAAATGTTACAACCGGTAGGGTACATTGTGAAAATAAGTGATTTTAATATTTTCTCTTCTAAGCTATTTAAATTGTATATTTCTTAATATTAACAGAAAATATAATCTAATATTACTTAAAATTAGCCGCAGGAAGCAACAGAAATTTAATTGGATATTCAGATATAAGATATTGTGAGTAGGTCGCATAATCTAGAACTGAATACTGTCGCATGTACAGATGTATTTTACATTACATCATCGAAAACATTAAAATGTAATAACGTAAGCTTATTTACTTGCCAAATGATACATACTTTTTGTTTAAAATATTAAAATAAGTATGTTATGATGATTTATAAATGATAAAAGAAACATCTACTAGAAACATATTCATTTATAATAACTAAATTTGTGGTTCTTCTCAGAGACAACTTTTTCAACAATTTTAATAAAGATTGGGATATTGAGGATTGAGGAAATGAGGGCATTTAATGTAAACAAACAAAAACGTACGTGACTGAAAGATAATAAACAAAAAGATAATATTTACCGCTTAGTTCTGTACATCGAACACTGAAAAATAAAATATTTAATACTATTGCCACAGTTATTAACATTTTAAACAATCTACACTAAAACGTTATTTAAATATTTAGAAAAATATACTATTTATATAAATGAACAAAAAAACATCCCACCACCATCAGTCTTTTCATGGCACTGCGAAGTGCGAACTGCGACGCGACATGCGAGTACACGACTGCAACCGAAACTTGGAACTGCTTAGAACATAGAACTGGAAACTCNATTATTGAGATTCGCATATTTTTTATAATGAGTACATACCCCCCGAGGTATGTACCGCAGTCAACGTGTTAAAAAAAAAGTTGTAAATTATAAAGTTTTAAAACCTTATACATACATATGTTTACTTACAGAGTTATGAATAAATAGATGTATTCTATCTTTGGGGTATTTTAGCGCTTGAACTTTTTCTAACTGTTCTTCCAGAAATGGTGTATTTATTTCAATAAAAACAGCAATAAATACTATAGGTAATTCTGATGCAGGTGTGTTATTAAGATTAATACTATTTTGTTTACATTTAACACACCCCTCTACTGAATTCCATACATTTGGTACATAATTGCTAAGATAATTTAATGTAATCTTTGAGGGGCCATTTCCATGCAAAATAATTGGTTCTGTGTGGGTAATAACATTTTTTATACCATATTTTTCTGCACCTCCTTCTTTACCATCTATAGTGTATATTTCCAATTCAGCTAAAAGAAAGGTGTAAATAAAAAAATATGGGATAGAAATTTTAAGAACTTACTTGCTGCACCATTTATATTCTGGAATATTTCACTTTTGTGATCTAACTTAAACTGAATACTGTTTCGAAAGTCTTCATCCAAATAAGCTTTTGTGAAAAATAGTTGATCATCATCAGTATCTTTAATGGCAGCTCGTTCCAACAATTTCAAAATCTCGGAGATATATCCCATATACATCCCTGAATTTAAAAATCTTTTTCCATCGACAACTTCAGGATATTTTGGAGCAAGCTCCAGATCTGGCCAACAATATGGTTCAGAACCAAATAAAACTTTTGCATTTGATTTTTCAAATCGTCGGAGAATTTCATTAACTCCATTTGCAAAAATCACATCATATCCATCTGTAAACAGGATAATCTTTTTTGTATCATCTTTGTATGGAATCAAGGCTTCCTTTAAGAGATTAATTTTCCATCCTCCTCCTGGTTTCCTTTTAATATCGTCACCTCCCTTCCATTTCTCACCAAACCCGAGTACCGTTGGTTTAATGTTAAATTCGTTTGCTGAATCTAGATATCTTAAAAAACCATCTTTAGCTTCTGTAGCTACAGTAAATACCAATAAGTCTGCAATAAAAAATGTCACTGTTAAGAAAGTGATTTTCCACTAATTTGGAAGACAAAACAAGTTACCATAATCATATATAGATCAAAATGTATTGGATTAAAGGAAACGAAGGAGTTTACTATACGATGTGTACTAAATGAATGAGCACAAATGCTACCAGACAATCTTGAGGCCAAAACATGATAATTGAGCCAAATATACCTATACAATATTAAATAATATATCCCTACATCGACGAAACGACTGGTAAATTATAAATATAATCCCTTGAATTTTATTTATTGTATTCATAATGTGATGAATTCCGAGAGTGAATTCCCTCTCTGAGCTCATTTTTTTTGTTGCGCTACAGTGCGGTGAACAATATATTCAACATAGACATAATATTGTTTTGAATTCCAAGTTAATATGTAACATTATTTATTAAAATTTATTCTTAAGAAACTAAATTTCTTAAATCAGAAGAATGGTCTCCCATTCAACTGAAATTTTCGGTAAAACGATACACTATACCGATTTTCAAGTAAATATACGTCTTTTATGTAGAATTGTCCACAGAATCTAAAAATGAATCCTGAATGATTATTAGGTCATTGACGTAGAAGTTGGGGTAAAAAATCTCTCTTTACTACCCATTTCTATGCCATTGACCTACAAAAATTTGTAAATTTTACAGTAACTTATGAACATGTGTTAATGTTAACACTACACCAAATTTGAATCAATTTGTTATAGGCATACCAAAGATTTCATAAATAATATGATTTTAAAAACCAACCAGTATGGCCCTGTACTGTGAAAACGGTGATATTTAGACTCTTGTGTTATAAGGCAATTCTGAATTATTTATTGAGTCCTATTTGTGGTTAAAGTTTGATTCACCCGAACTGAAACACCCTGTATACCAAAAATATGATTGTGGGAGTCCCTAATTAATTTCTACGACTTATCCAGTCTCTAACCCAAATGCTTTTTTTTTCTTAAACAAAACTTTTTGACAAAGCTCTTTCTTCTTTCACCAGTATATTCAACAATAAAAACTGATTTTTCTTGCTATCAGCAGCGATAATGCCCTTACCATATAAAACTAATATGAACCCAAACCAGCGGCTGCTTGATGTGGATGTTTACAGCCAGCAGCCACCAGCGGCTAATAAAGTAGCCGAGTTAAAACATTGTTGATTCTAGTCATAAAAATAATGAAACAAGTTTTTATGACACTTTTTTGAAAACTCAATATTAATAATTAACCTTAAATTTATTTTTTAAATAACATTTTGCAATAACTTTTTTTTTTCGAATTTGGTAAACTTAGTAGGTACCTATTGGTAATAAACTGCTGAATAACTCTAAAGGTGTAAAAAACTTCAATGGTTATTATTAAATTGATCACAACTTTATTAGGTACTTAGTTTTCAAGAAAATAAAATGGCTCCAGTGATGTAAAATGACCGTCATTTAAACTCGTGACGGTCATAGCCGTCATGACCAGGTCATGACAGTCATTACACGTCATAAATAGTTTCAGTTAGGAAAAATAATAGTACTTAAATGTAAATGGTTGTTATCCCCTCGCTATGCACAATAAGTCATTTTTCTAAAATATAAATTAATAATAATAAATAATAATAATGTCTTTATTAGCAGGATACATATTTATAACAAAGATTTAGGCTACCTGGCGGCGCCGTTCGATTTTACTCGCTCTTCCGCGTACTGAATCTCAATATTGCCTTAATAAATTCAACAACAAAACTAATTAATATCAAAAAAGTTTTTAACTACAAGACAAACGACACAAAAAACACATGTTCTTTGGCTATAGATGACAAGTATAAAGTAATAAAACAAAAAATTATTACCATTGGTTAAGTTTTAAGGACATCACGTCACAAGGTGGAAAATAAACCTACTTCTTACCGCATTGACAATGAATATTTAATAGATATTAATTTAATATTAACATTAATAAAATCATCAAAAGTATCTATAGAGTGATTTTATTTTACTGTAATAAAAAATAATAATAATAATTTAAATATTTAAGAAACAAAAACTGTCATGACGCGATCATTTTCTGTGACGCGACGGTCATGACAGGTCACATGACCCACTTACATCACTGAATGGCTCCATATTATTATATCATTTAAAAACTTCTCCTGTGGCAAGTTGATAACATTAACTATTTTCGAGAAAAATTTTTGTAAATTAGACGAAACTGGATTTGACCATAAAAGTAAGTAGTGCTTTATAATTATAAACACTGAAATCTGCTAAACTATCTTTAATTACATTAACTTATGTGTAAAAATTGAGAAATTTCAAAATAATAATACAAATTTTCTATAACTGATGAAAAACATTGTCACAAATATTAAATAAATGCGTTTTTTTATCAAAAATAGTTAATGTTATCAACTTGGGGTAAAATATTTTTTATTAAAAAAATAATAATTTCAAGGTTATGCAATTCCTTTGGTTTTTGAAACAGTTTCATTAATTTTTTTTACTCATAGTTTTCGGACACCCTATATTTTTACTATTATTTGCAATTTGTGTACCTATCACAACAATTTCAGAGTTCTCCTGATTTTTTTGTAAAGAAAAAGAAACGCAACTGGAATTTCTGTTCATAAAAATAATTAAAGTCCATCCAGCTTGGGCGACCGTATATATACTAAATAATTATGATTCAAATAATTTTAGAAAGGAGGGAGTGTGATAATGTAGAAAATATTCAAAAGCTATAAACTATATATTTAGATTTTATGACCTCAACGCAACAAGAGTAACACACACGTATGTACATAGATATACACAAATCAATTCATGTTCAGCGGAGAATTCTGCAAAGTAAATTTTGGTTTACTAATATTCTTATGTTTATACTTTATCGGCCTTTCTCCACAATAAGTAATTTTACACATACATTCTGAGGAGGTTTTCCTCAACTATTTTATTACTTAATTAATGTTTAAGTAGTTAGTGACAAATTGTTCATATTTACAGTCAAGTCAAACAAAATAACATACGTATGAATATATACATAGTTTTTTGCATTCATTATTGTGTCAATGACGATACGACGGCCGTATATCCGCCGCAATAATTCGCTGTCTGTTTATAGCATGAAAAAGACCTGATTTAATTATAGGTCAAGCAATAGAGAAAAAAGTAGCAATTTATCTATTAATCCTATTAGGAAAGCGAATGTGCCATCATCTGAAGAACAGTCCGTTCTGTTACGTTTTAGACTATGAAATGTCATTTGATTATTTTTTATAACCAAAAAACTGAAAAAAATCACGTTTTTTCAGCTTTCTGTTATAAAATAAAATAAAACACAAGTGTTGTGTAACAAAATGTATATTTCTATTTTGCTGAAAAATACTGCAAAACCGATCTCAAATGCCCGTAGAGTTGAGTAAAAACAGCCGAGCGCGCGAAAGCTGTCTGGTAGTGGGGTAGGTGTAGGCTATTGATGATACATATTGTAATTTCGGAAAGAGATGTAGAAAAAAACGGTTAAATGGCTCTTTTCGAGAAATTTTGAAAAAAGTTTTTTTTTTTTCGGTATTTTTGGTACTCGTGATACATCGTCGAAAAACTTACAAAGTACTTTTTCTTTTCTCACTAAGTGTAAGTTTATGTTGGAGCGGCACGCCAAGCCACGACAAAAGCTAGGCGCCTAGCCACGACTATTCAATGTATACATTCTTATGGAAGTGTTCATAGTGGAGTACTAAAGCCAAGTACTAAACGCTTGGCTCCGCGCGCTGAGCCAGGCGCTAGAGCAAAGAATCTAGCAAGGTATTATTTAAGCGCGGCGCGTTGATCGGCGTACTGTTTTTGACTAGAATAAAGATGTTTTTCTCTATTATTATTAGATAGATTTAAAAATCGAACTGGGAATTTTCTTAATTCTGGGTAGAGATGATGAAACTCTCCAAATACTTTTCGTCCCCGGTTTATGGGATGTACACAGCATTTCCTTTTTTATGCTATTAAGCAAACACCATTTATTAGCAGTCGATTCTAACATAATTCCATCATCAGATGAAGACGACGAGTCGGTGTACATATTGATATGAAGTTCAGCTTAAAACTGGAGCCAAGACGTTACAAAACTGATATTTATAGACCAGAAGAGTACCTGGCGCTTCGCTCCAACATGTACACCTGTCGCACTCCTCGTAGCATTTGTCTAGGCGCTTAGCGTATAGCTCGGCCCGTGGCTTTTGTCGTGGCTTGGCGTGCCGCTCCAA